CGCAGGCGACGCTCCCCCGGGCAGGGGCTTCCGCACGCGCCCTCGCCCGGCGCCCCCTCCCGGCAGGCGGCGCCACTGCAGGAGCAGCCGCCTCTCTCCCCAGGCACTTCCGGCACTGGCACCGCCCACCGGCCGCTCTTTCCTGTCCCATCTCTATGATGAGCGGCCTCAGCCCCGGGCGAGGGGCGGGCCACCCGGAAACGGCCCTCGACGCGGCTGTTCGCGGGACGTACCGCCTCACGCGAGCACCGCTGCGCCGAAACCCTCTTGGTTTCCCCTGAACGCAGTCGAGCGAAAGCGAAGCGACTCTACGCGCTATCGACGTAGGCGCTGGACGTGCTCCTGGGAGGCCCTTCTTTGCATATTCATGAGGCGGCGGCGCGCGAGCGAGTGACGTCAGGGGCGGCGCGAGGCCGGCGTCGGCAGGGCCGCTCGCGCGGGGGCCCATGGGAGCGTGAGGATGGTGGCCGGCGCCTTTCCGATCGCCAAGCTGCTCTACCTGGGCGTGCGGCAGCTCTCGAAGCCCTTGGCCACGCGCATCAAGGACGGGGCGCGCGCCAGCCCCTTCTTCCGGCAGTACATCTGCGGGCCCCCCGCCCAGCGTGAGTAAGGCGCGCGCGGGGAGGGGCCCGTGGGCCCGCGGGCAAGCCAATGGAAGCGCCGGCGAGACGGGCGCGAGGAGCGCGGCGGCCAATAGGGCGGCGAGGGAGAGGAGGCGGGCCCCGCGGCGGCTCGGCCAATGGGAGGGCGCGCGGCCGCCCGGCCGTAGAGGTGACATTGCCCGGTCTCCGCCCCGCCCCTCCGCGGTGCACGTGGCTGAGCCCCCCGGGCGGGTGGGCCCCCCGGGAGGGGGAGTACAGCTCCCAGCATCCCCAGCCAGGCCTTGCGGCCCTGCCTTCTTGCCCGCCTCTCATGGTGGCGCCTGGAGACCCAGCGGGGGCGGTCGCAAACCCCCTGCAGCGTTTCCGCAAGGCCGAGCGTGCCGGTTAAGGCCTGGGGGGAAGCCCGGCTCCAGGGCAGCCCCGCGCCCAGAGGCGAGGCTCCAGCCCTTGCGGGGAGCCAAGCGGGGCTGGAGGGCCAGCGGCCCTGGGCTGCCGCACGAGGCCCGCTCGCGGCGCCGCTAGCACCACTGAGACTGGTGGTGCGGCCTTGTGCACGAGGCGGCGCGTGGGGGGCTTTCCGCAGGCGCCTCCACCTCTCTTCCTTTCCTCCGTCAGTGTACCACTGGGTGGAGATGCGGGCCAAGATGCGCATCATGGGCTTCCGTGGCGCCGCCATCAAGCCGCTGAATGAGGACGTGGCGGCAGAGCTGGGCGCGGAACTGCTGGGCGAGGCCATCGTCTTTGGGGTGGGGGGGCTGTGCATCTTTTTGGAGTACTCCCGCCAGTCCACCAACAGCAAGAAGAAAGAGGACGAACTGAACAGCACCCTTCTCGGCCTGCAGGAGCAGGTGGCCGAGCTGACCTTGACTGTGGAGACACTCGATGCGCAGCTGCGCGAAATGCACCGGGTCCTCGTGGAGGTCTCGGCCGCCCCCAAGTAGTCCGGCTCTGGGGGGGAGAGGTGCAGCTGCCTGGAACGGCCCTCTGCCGAGAGCCCCCTTGCTGGATGTGCTATGGCAAGGTGAGCCGCAGGGATCTGGCCCTGTGTGGTGGGATTTGGAGCGCAGAGTCCTGAGCTGCGCCTCACCCCTGGGCTGCTGGATGTCTTTGCAGGGTTTCTCCTAGAATGTAAATATTGAATCCATTAAAAGAAAAGCACAAGTTCCTTTCCTGTGGTTTTCCTGGGGAAAGGCGTGGTGCCCATGGGCATGTGGAGAGTGCCCCAGTTGCGGGACAGAGCTGGGCTGTGGAGGGCGGAGCAGGCCTCTTCTGGCCTTCTTGCTTTCGCAGACAAGGGTTTCCCAGATTTGGGGGGTGGGAAGATAAAATGGATATTTTCAACCAGTCTGGAAATGCTGTGTGTCCAGGGATTGTGAGCAGCAGATTGGGGACTGTCTGGCTCTGTTCTCTGGCCAGGCAACACAGACTGGGCGGCCTGGGGGTTCCCAGTGGGTCCCGGATTCACTGCTTGCCCAGTCATGCTCCGATGTTTGTCGAGGGCCAATACGCTGAGCTGCGGGAGGGCTGGCAACTCTCCCAGACCAGATGCTCTCCAGACAGTTTGGACTGCAGTTCCGATCATTCCTAGCTTGTTTGTTGATGCTCTAGAGAAGGGTGGGGGCGTCGATCGCAAGACTATTTATACTATTTATAGATCAGCAAGGGTGTTCTGGCTTTGTGGCTTAACAATGCAGCGATCTTCTCCCCCATCTTAGGCTCCAAAATACTCATGGAGAGCTTTTTCAAAAGTTCCCTCTTTTCTATGGAATTTCACCCCTCTATTATGGTTAGGGGTGTGCACCAGGGTAGGGTTAGGAAAACGAGGTGTCCTGGCATGATTCTGATGGCTGGAACGTGTTTAGCATGGGCAGAAATGATGAGCTGCGCAGAAAAAGCTACTCAAGGAGGGCTTTTTCAAAAGTTCCCTCTTTTCAAGGGAACTTTCACCCCCTATTAGGGTCAGGGGAGTGCACCAGGGTAGGGTTAGGGCAGTTGGTGGTGCACCTACGGAGCCCTCTCCATCAGCACGCAAGCCAAGTCACCCCAGCAGCCAGCGCACACGGGGGCCATGCGCCTGCTCGGAAAGGAGTTATGGCTCCAGATGATACCACGAGCGACGACTCATTAGCCGCGATTTCTCTGAACTTCGCATGGCACTGCCAAGGATAGATATATATTTGCTTAGACTGGCTGTGAGTTGTTTTTTCTAAACTAAAACCTCAGTTTTCAGGTTTGATTGTAGTGTTAGCGCCTTGCGACAAATACGTGGGTTTTGGGTTGCAGTTTGGGCACCCTCTCTGAAAGGTTCCCCATCTGGTCTAGGACCTCTCCAGATCTGGTGCTGAAAATCCCTAGTTCTTTAAGGCGAGCTCTGCTTTGCCCCTGGATCCATTGCAGCGGCTTGTTCAGTCCTGCTGTGAAGCCACTTGCCTGGCACCCAGACCCACACATTCCTGGTTTTTAAGCAGCACCCCCCAGCAAGCCTTGCCTGCTACGGTCCCTTTAAAGGAAGAGTTGCATACATTATCCGAATTTCCCGGCACTAGGCCTTCCATAGCCCCTGGTGCTGTTCCAACCAGCCACTTAAATTATTAACTTATTTGAAAGCGCTTTTATTGACCGCTCTTTCCTAGATGGAAGGCAAAAGGCACCCCCTGGGCCAGGCCCAGGGCTGCCAAGATTACGGGCGGTGGACCGGCTGTTGCAAGGGGGAGGGGGATGACGTGCCGATGGCCCCGGACTGGGCTGGAGGGAGCTTCCTCTCTCAGAGGTGCCCCTTAATCCCTATTTTCAGTTGGGATTAGCCAGGTAAAGGGAGCGCGCTGTGCAAGGAAACCGATTCTGAGCCGAGCCCCATTGAATTCTGAAGCGGGGACGGCGAGCCTTGAACCCGTGGCCGAGCAGGCAGGCTGCCGGCATTCCCTCTGGGCTGTGGTTGCGCGCCGGGAGGTGCAGGGTCCCTGCTGGCCCAGAGGGAGGGAGGCGAAAGCCACGCGGGCAAATGCCTGTAGGGGGGAAGGCTCAGCTGCTCCCCACAAGCTTCTCTGCTGAAGGGCCCCTGGGGCTCCCCACTTCCCCCTCGTGGCGCTGAAGCCCCCGCAGAAGCGCCTGCGAAGGACGTCAGGGCCTTGGCGTCCGGCATTTTCCCACAAAGTCATGCGCTCGGCCAGCCCCGGCTCCTGGCACTGGGGGACCAACAGCGGGAGCAGCAGAGCCCCTGCCCCGTCATCCTGGCGTCAGGCCTTCTGAAGGCCATCGCGGCCCTGGGGGTTCCTGCAGCACTTGCGGGGGATGCCAGGCAGTTGGGGGGTCCTGACGTCAAGCTGAGCACTGGCAGGATGTCCTGGCAAGAGCGCTGGACCGGGGTGCGAGGGGCCGCGTTCCCGTCCGTGCCGCCTCTCAGCCTACCCTACCTCGCAGGGTTGTTGCGAGGACCAACGGGAGAGGGGTGCCTTGTCAGCCTAACCCTAACCCTTGCCAGAGGAAATCTCCCCCAGGCCCTCTGCACCGCCTCATGGGAATTGCAGTCCTGTAGCTGTTTGGGCCCCAAGCCGCCCACCCCGGGGCCACGTGGGATGCGGCAGGAGCCTCTGCAGCAGCAGCAGCAGCAGGGGGTCTGGGCAGGGCTGCGCGCAGGAGGGTGCGAGCCAGCAGGGGTGCTCCCGCGTCGGGACGCCCATTTTCCCCACCACCCGACTGCAGCCCTTCCCTCCCTGCCTCCGGCCCCATGTTTCCTCTGCGCTCTCCCCTCCTCACACCTGAGGGTGGCCGTGTGCTGCCAGGCCGTGGGCCAGAAGCAGCAAGGGGGCGCCCCTCCGCTGCCCCGCTCCCCAAGCAAGATGGAGTTCGGCTGAGATTTCGTCCAGGGCTCCACAACCCAGAAGCCTGCGACCAACAGTATCCCTCTAGGGAAGCGAGTGGGAAGCCCTCCCTAAGCCACACATCACAGCTCCCAGCATCCTGAGCTAGCACGGCCATTGGCTCTGCAAGCTGGGGAGCATGGTGGGCCACACTGGAAGGGGCTGACGTGCGCCAAGCTGGCTCCGGGAGGCCCCGCAGTGCTGCAGTGATGGCCTTGGGAGCATCCCTGACCCTCATCCACACCCTGTCACAGGTGCTCTGGGCAACTTTGGCCGTCCCCAGCGCCGAGGCAGCCTGCGGTGCGGGGAAACGGAGCAGAGGAGTGCATGCAAGCTCCCTCAGGCGCCGGGTGAGGAGGAAAAATGGCCCACTCCACCCCCAATCCCGCCACCCCCAAAACAGCCCCCCCGGGGGCCAAATTCCCCGTCAAGGATACGCATCCCACACACTTGGGTTTTGCAATTTTTCAAAAAAGGAAAAAGATTTATTCCTAAAGAAGTTTGGTGCATGTGCCCAAGACCCTCGTGCCCATCGGCAGGTGAGCGGGTGCTGCGTGTTGGAAGGGTAGGTAGAAATCGGGCAGAAATACCCAGCAGATCAGTAATAATAATAATAATAAATCAAAATATAATATTCCATCCAGCTCAACAAAAACAAACGTCAAAAATTACAGCTCAGTAGAAAAGCCAAGAGCCTGTCCCGCCTCCCTCCACAGCCTGACGGAGGCAGAGGGTGAAAACATTTTTAAAAAGGACCCAGAAAGGTGGGAGCAGGAACAGGTAAAATATTCTGAGAAGTACCCCGTTCGCCATGTGTAAAATCAAAAGTTACAAAACCAAGAAAAACCAGCCGCGTGTGTGAAACAAGGAAGGGTCCTTGGAAGTGTGTGGAGGGCTGAGGGCCCTGATTCGGGAGGAGTTCCCTCCTCTCGGGGGGCGCATGCATGGCCACAGGCACCGCAGGAGTGGTGCCCCGAAAGGGCCGCGGCTGGCAAACGGGCAGCCACCGGCCGGGGCTGCCGGGGTGAAGGTGCTCCTGGCAGATGCTGCCCCGCAGCCTGTGCAGCCGCCCCGGTCGGTCCTCTGCCCCTCTGCCCGGACCCCTGCAGCCTCGCCTCCGCAGAAGGAGGACCGCGGGAGGAAGGCAGCTTGCGCCACGGACTGCCCGAGGAGGCAGGCCCGGCCGGGGCCGCGAAGCAGGTCGCCGGCGTCGGCCCGAATCCAGGGAAGGAAGCGTCTCGAGCTGAGCGGGGGGTGGGGATTCTCCCAGCCAGGGGCACCTCTTCGGGAAGCAGGTGCTCGCCAGGGCGCCCCTCGGAGGGCCGTGCCCCCTGCCCACGCTGCCTGCACCCCCTCTCCAGGGGAAGGGGACGTGGAACATGGACGCCGAACGAGGGAAGAGGAAGGGGGGCGCACCCTCCGGGAATGGCAGTGTGGGGCAGCCAGAGGCCCGTTCCGCCAGGGAAGCGGCCCCCGGCCCCGTGGGAACAGCCTCTCTGCAAGGGGCAGGCCGGGCGGGGGGCGGTGCTGCTATTGCTCTGGGTAAGGCACAGGTGGGGGTCCGGCCCTTCCTGGGGTGGGGACCGCTGCGATCGTCCCTCCCCCACCTGGAAATTGCACAGCGGGGGCCAGAGGCCTCGGAGCCAGCGGGGAAGGGGGGCTCTGTGTGAGTCTGTGTGGGGAGGGGCTCGTCTGGTGCATGATGGGGGGGAAGGTGATCGGGTTTCTTCTTCATTTTTTCTCATTGTTTATTCTCGTCTGCGCATGGGGAGGATTCAGCTGCAGCCACCGGTGGCCCCACGGGTGGCAGGGGGCTAAGGCGATCCCCGCTTCCGTAGCTCCGCCACGAACGCTGCGAGAGAGGAGGCGATGAGCGTGCGGCGAGCCACGGCCGGCAGCCATGGCCGGTGATGGCGGACCCGGAGCCTTCCGGCTCAAGGGCCACAGCCGGGCTCCGCTCCTTTGACGGGCCTGAGCATCTCCCCCAGCCTGGCGGTAAAAGGAGGCACGCAGCTCCCAGAATGCCCCGGTCAGGCTGGGGGATTCTGGGAGTTGTAGGCCAACCCAGCTGGAACCTGGGAAGCCTGCTTCCGACCACGTGAAGCCAGGGACGAGGGCCCCCGCGCCCCTTCCTCGTTGGGCCCCCGTGCCTCCCGTGCGAGCCCTGCGCCTCGCATTCCTCCGGGCAGGCCGAAGGGGGAAAGCCAGGCCAGTTAGGCGGCGGCAGAGCCACGGGCTTGCCATGCCCAGCTGGAGTCTGACGCACCCCGCTTTGCAGGCCCGAGCTGGGCCGCGGGGCTTCGGCGGGGCAGAGGAAGCCTGCGCGCCTGACACCCGCCCCCCACCGGGAATCGGCTGCCTGCATTTCGGGTTCGGAGAGCAGTGCAGGTGCCCCGCTGGATCGGGCCAGCCACGGCTCCGTGGCCTCCCGACGGCTGCCAGCAGGGAGCGAGGCCGAGCGTCGCTCGCGGCCGTTACGGCAGCTCCAGGGGCCGGGCCGGGCCTCCCCCGTGAAGTGGGTCACCCATCCCGCATCCTGCCGCCCAGGCCTCGCTCCCGCTCACCCTGAATGATCTCCTCCTTCATCTTCTGCAGCTCACGCCGGACCTCCTGCAGAAGCTCCTGGACAGAGGGAGAAACCGGGCTCAGGCCAAGGTGCCAAGCAGGGCCCGCGCTGGCCGGAAGACGGGTGGGCCCCACTCCCCTCCCTCTCACCGCACTACAGCTCCCATCACCTCCAGCTTGGCCTTCCCTCCTCGGGGGCAGTCTGACTGCTGGGAGCACGGGGCAGGATGGGCTTGCGGGAGCGCGGCGCTTATGGGAAGGGGTGCATGGAGTTCCCCCTCCGTTGGCCGAGGGCAGTGCCGGCCGGGGGGGGGGCTGTCCTTGCACAGCTCTCCCCCCCCCCCCCAGGGGAGCTTCAGGAGCAGCGCTAGGGTGGGATTTGGCCTGCTTACCTGCTTCACCCGTTCCAGCTCCGATTCATCCCCAGCTCCTCCTCCTGCCGGTTCTGACCCGGTAATCGCCCCGGCAGACTTCATCCTGGGTCGGGGAAGGGTTGGCTCAGTGCAGGGGAAGCAGAAACCCCGGAACCCAGTCTTGGTCTGCCCCCCCCCCATATTCCCCAGGGTGCCCCATGAACCAAGCACACCGAAGGCACCGCCGAACCGTGGGAACTGCCCTTCAGGCGCCAACGGCCACTTTGGAGGGCAGCTCCCGTCAGGACCTCCGTGGGGAGAGGAAGAATTAACCCCCGCAAGCCCGTTTTTCAAGGCTGCTGCTTGCAGGTCGTATCCAGCCGGCACGTCCCACCCGGCACGGGTTCGAGGCTGAGCAGCCCCACTGGCTGAGCGGAACAAGCACGAGCCCAACTCTGGCACGGGAGGCTGGCGTCTCTCCCCCACATGACCCACTGCACACCCTCCGGCCTTCGCTGCTGGGGGGCCATGTTAAGGGGCTGGGCCTTCTGGTCCGTTGCCCCCTTCAGAGGAACCACTGGGGGCAGACACGAGGGGCCTGGGGGCCAGGATTCTGGATCCCACTGACTTGGCGGGAAGGACAAAGAGAGCTCCTAGCCCACCTGTCCCCCCCCTTTTCTTACTAACGCAATCGAGGATCCTAGGAGTCACGGGGGGGGGGGGCTCCCGCCCTTCCAGGGGCAGGCGCTGCAGCGTCCTGGGACTGGATCGTGCCTCTGCACGACGGGGGTCCCCCGGATTGGCTGGCGGGCGACTTGACCTCCCCTCGCCGACCCCCACCCGTCTGTGGGGCGGGCTGCTGGCGTGGGTGGGTGGGAAAAGACGCCCGGCCCGCTGGCCCTTCTCCGCCCACGCTGCGCCCGCTCAGACCGAGGGTGCCGCCGCCTGAGCGCCCAGCCCTGCCGCTTTCTGCTGCGGAGGGGGCCGCCTGGCCCTCGGGCCGAGCCGGGAGGGAAGCCCGGGCTGCGCCTTGGGCTCCGCTCAGGCACTCCAGTACCGCAGGCAGTTCTGGAGAGAGGCCCAAAGCCAGACCCACGACTCCAGCCACCGAGGAACATGCCCGGCGGGTCAGCTGCACTCTATACAGTACTTGGCATCACAGAGCATCCCTGCCTGATACCGAAAGTGGCCGGCCTGAGGCCGGGCGGTGGCTGGGGGGGTGGTGCTCCTCGGGGTCACAGTCTTCCTGATGGGGG